GCATACTTAATGAGTCCTGCCTGTGGTGCACAGTAAGTCTAATGACTACAAAGCCCACATGGTTTTCTATCAGAAATATCCTAAGGTACAAGGGTGTTCTTATTAGGGCAGACTTGTAAAAGGGGTGTTGAACACGCCTAGCTGAGCTCTAGGACTCTCTCAGCATATTTTAGGGTGTACAAACTCCTGATTACTCTCTGTCTGACCTTCCGAGGTTCTCTAGGGAACCGTGGGTGCTGACAGGTTGGGTACTCATTTTACCAACCTCAGGATGGAAGGCTAAGTCAACCTTGAACTGGCTACCTGAACTTGTCAAGTTCGAACTCAGGTCATGAGCAGAGACTTGATGCAGTACTGCAGCTTAATGATTGCACATTAGTGGAGTAGAATTATGTTAGGGCAACAGAATTACAGAAAAAAGTAGCATCATTTGTATGTGTAAAAAAACAAAACAAAAGCTTTCAAGTATCTGAAGACTGTTATCACATCTCTCCTCAGTCTCCTTTTGTAAAATATGACCTGATATTTTCTTTGTCCCCACCAAAAAAAAGTGCTTGTGCTGGTGGTGCAATGAAGAGAAAGAAATTTCCTGATTATTGTAATAGCCAGGTGGGCTTACAAAGGAGATACAGTGTTTTAGATATCTTTGTCCCAATAGTTGTTCTATCCAACTCACTCCTAGTTAGCTTATTAATCATAAGGTACTTTGCCAAAAGCATTGCTGAAGTAAAGATATATTATATGTCCAAAGCATTTCCACTATCTACAAGAGAGGATTCCTGTTCAAAAAAATGAGATAAAATCAATTTGGTGGGATTTGTTTATGACAAATGTGCTTTGGGTTAGGGTTACCGTGTTTCCCCAAAAATAAGACAGGATCTTATATTAATTTTTGCTCCAAAACCTTTCAGGGGATGTTTTATTTTTTTTCACGTACAACAATCTACACTTATTCAAATACAGTCATATCATCATCTTCTGGTTGCTGCACAATGGTGGAGGGTGGGGCTTCACTTAACTGGGGCTTATTTCAGGGGTAGGGCTTATATTACGAGCATTCTGAAAAATCAATACTAGGTCTTATTTTCAGGTTAGGTCTTATTTTCAGGGAAATAGGGTATTGGTACATTATTTTCAAGATCCTTGCAGACTGACTACTTTATAGTCTGCTCCACAATTTTTCCTGGAACTGACACCAGGCTGACTGGTTGGTAGTTCCCAACTTCCTCCTTTCTGCCCTTTCTGAAGAGAGGAACAACATTAGCCCTTCTCCCGTCATCTGCCACTTTGCTCATCCTCTAGAATTTCAAGAAAATAATAGTGTTTTTGAGAGTTCTTCAGCTAATTCCTTCAATATTCTTGCATGCAGTTCATCAGGCCCTAGACAACTGAACTTGTTCAGACTAAAAAGGTATTCCTTAGCTATTTATTTGTCAATCTCAAGATGCAATCCTGTCCTCTCCACCTGCACTTCACATTTAATAGATTGTCTTTTGCGAGAATACTGAGCTAAAGCAGGATCTGAGTAGTTCTTTTTCATTTGTTCTCATATTTCATTCCCACTAAGAAGATGGACCACTATTTCTTTTCTCTGTCTTTTGTTACCCCTGTACCTCAAAAATGATTTTATGTTGCTTTTAATGCCCAATGCTAACTTCATTCTTATTCTCAGCTTTTCCCTTCCCAACAACATCTTTGAAATTCTTTGCTACCTGTTGGTACTCTTCCTTTGTGGCTTGGCCTTCCTTCCACTTCCTATATGTATCCTTTTTTGTTTTCAGGTCCTCTTAAGTTTTTTATGAAGCCACATTGCTCTCCCCCCCCCCCTGCTGCTGCCTTCCATTTTTTTCTCTCAGAATAGTTTGTAGTTCTGTCTTTAGAATTTCCTTTTTAAGAAACTCTCATCCACTTTGAACTCCTTTTCTTGTTAGGATATCCTACCCTGGTAACTCACTTACCATTGTCCTGAGTTTATTAAAATTGGCTTTCCTAAAACCAGCTTACATATGTGGTTACACTCCATTTTTGTTTCCTTCAACATCAAGAACTAAAGTAGAACATAGTCATTTCCATCCCCAGAGTTCCCCTTGCTGTCACTTCATCCACCAAATCAGGCCAATTAATTAGAATCAAGCC